TTAGTTAAGGGGCTAACATTTTATTTTTCTCCCTAGGCAAGTAAGAGAGAGATTGAAGAGCCAAGTTACTCAAATGGGGGAGCAAGTCCCGGGTTTCAGGCCAGGCCTGGCGATTTTACAGGTATTATGATGTCTCCATTAAAATAATTTGACCCATAGGAAATAAGCAGTGTTCATTTTAAATACTCTACAAAATTGTAATATTACCTCACCACACACTATGCATACTTTCAGCTTCCACATACATTATCTTACTCCTTGTGAAGTCTTTGCTAGGAATGGATGTTGTGTAACATAATTTTCTTCCTTCCCATTAGCTTGCCACTGTTGCTTTTTGTTGCAAATTATTTCCTATTAGAAAGGTTGGAGTTGCTGACAAAGAAAGACAATCTGAAGGCCTGTGGTTATATTCCCAGCACATATTTTCTGCTGTGATTTTTGTTTTTGTTTTTTTGTTTTTTATTTTTTCACAACTTGCCGAGTGAGAATCAAAGGTATGTTATAGAACTGTGCTAAGAACACCCAGGAATTGGTTATTTCTTGGTTTATCTGGGAGAGTTGTTAAAGAGAGAAAGCATGTCATGAGTAAATCCAGGTTTCTATAACAGCAATACTCTGCTTAAAGGCATCTCTCTGACCCTTCTGTACCCTCCTGGTCTGGAGAAGTTAACCTCCAGTGTTTTCATTAAGCAAAAAACATTGTTTCTGCTTGGCTGCTTTGCAGGTATTTATCAGGAAATGTATCTGTAATGGATTTACCTCAGGTTTTTCTCTCCTAACACAGAGGATAGTGGTTTGTAATATAGATTGTTAGACAAGGAATTGGGGAAATAAGGTTAATTAGCTCTTTTAATAATACTTACTCTTGCTTTGTATGTATTTCTTGAATGGCCTGTTTGTGTTTCCCAGGCAGGTAAGTGAGAAAACAGCTGCTTGCTAGTAGTGGTGAGTCTGAATGAACAGTTGACCTACAATAAGACTGAAATGTGAGGTATTTATAGTAATTCAGGGATATTTGATTCATTTACAATCAATGATATCAAATTTGGATTTTATATGCATTATTCAGGAGTAAGATGGCTGTAAAAACAAGCAGCTTTGCAGAACTTCACCCCAGGTATTCTGGCTACAAATTCAATGTTGTTTTTTGTTCTATTACACCACTACTTTATTACATGAGAATAGTAGCAACTAAGGAGGCTGTACCAAAGAGGGTTAATCTAATAGGTCAACCCTGAAATGTAAAGCCCTTCTATTTTTGCTGTTTTTATTTGCAGGATTTAGTATTTAATAATGTAAAATGAAAAAGTCTATGAAAGCAGACTAGAGAGAAAAAAGATCTATATTGAGTCATTTTTTTGCCCACAAGAATAAAATACACAATGACAGTGATAATGCCCATTTTTAGAGTAGCATGTCTTTCCTTAGAATCTGAATAAGGGAGCCAGATTTCCACAGAAATTGTCTTAGGCATATTGATTGTGTGTATTTCAGTCAGATTGTATTCGTTGTCTTTTCCTATAAAAACCAACACAATCCAATCACAGAACTCCCATGACCCCCTTCTTAATATTTGTTGTACATTATACAGGCAGTTGCTCAGGTTCTTTACTGATGACTCATGGAACATGAATTTTAAAATAGCAGTTCTTTTTTATAGCTGGGCCTGGGATTCCATTGGTATAGGGAACTCCTGGTGAGGAATTCCCTATACCAATACAGGTTAGAGTTTCCTGGAATGCTGAGATTTGGTCTTACACATTAGGTAGTGGTTCATTTTTGTGATAGCAAAAAAACTAGAAATAAAATGAGTTCACATAAAATGGAGAATGGCTGAGTAAATTGTGGTATAGGTGAATGTCAGTTGGTCAACAAGCATTTATTAATAAATGCTGCTATGTTCCAGGCATTATGCTAAGTGTTGGGGATACCAAAAAAGAAAAGGAGAGGGAAGAAAAACATGGTTCCTGCCTTAAAAGAGCTTACATTTTAATGGAGAAAATATGCAAAAAATTTTTGCATACAAGATACGTATAATGTAAATGAAAGTTAATTTCTTGAGGAGGAAAGCATTAGCAATGGGGAGGACGAGGAAAGGCTTCCTGTGAAATCCAGTGAGGAAAGAGAGAAATCCAGGCATGGGAGATTGCCTGTGAAAAGGTGAGGAGTCTGGAGATGACCTGTTGTTTTTGAGGAAGAGAAAGAAGACCAGAGTAGCTCAGTCGTACAGTGCATAGAGGAGAGTGTGCTGGAACACTTTTGTCCCTGTGAAAAAGGATGAATATGAGGGATTCAGAGAAACACAGGAAAATTTCTTTGAACAGGTGCAGAACCAGGCAAACCAGTAGTAGAAATGAATCCCTGGGAGCCACATATTGACTTAGAAAACCACAAATTAACATTATCTTTGTTGAATATTCTCTGATTACATTTTATTCTGCTTCCTGCTGAAGTTTTGCAGGCAAGGAGTTTGACATCTCTGGTATACACAATGACAACTATAATTAATGTAAATTTAAAAAAAACTAAAGCAGATGAACTCAGATAAGTTGCAGTGCAAATCTTTGCATTTAGATTATTGAAATCATTGTATATATTATTTCCCTGGTTTTGCTTACTTCATGTATAAGTCTTCCTGTGTAAAATCGATTTTATATTACAAAATACTAAAGAAATTGTTTCACTCTCTGCAAATGTTTATTGCCAACAAGAGCTGCACAGTTCTTTGTCTTAGGAACAAGTTTGAGTTTAATAGATCTTTTAAGACTGCTCTAGAAGCAGTGCAAGCAATCCTTCTAGTTTCCTCAGCCCTGAAGGGAGGAGGGAATGTTAGATCCCTGGTTTTTTTTGTTCCTTGTTATCTTTGTTTACTCAGATTTTAGATGATAGCACAGGACTATAAGCTATATCTAATTAATGATTTCCAAAGGTTATGTATTTCTATGTTAAAGTCTCCTAGATACATTAGGTACATTCCTCAAAGTTAGCTGTAATAAGGTTCATTTCTATTAAAAAAAAAAAAAGCTACTTTATCTAACTAAAATTTAATGGCTTTCCTATGTATTATACCTCATTAAGTATTTTGTGTTTGCTTGTTCTAGGTTGGAGATAGAGCTGATTCAAATCTTTATATAAGTATGAAGCTAAAAGCTGCTGAGGAGGTAAAATCTACTGTGGTACTGCTAGCTAGCACAGTAATCCCATCACCACTTCTCTCCCTTCTCCGCCAATTAAAATTATCATGCCTTTATCCTAATTTGACTTGTATTGCAAATTATAAATACGTGGCTTCTAACTAGAGCCTCTGTCTTTTATCTACTTGCTTTTCTTCTTAAACAGAAAGCTAGCATGGAAAAATTAAAGGAACACAATAAATCTGAAATATT